CATCTGTTGCCAATATCATATCTCTACTCCCTTGCTCCATTATTCTTCCCTCAGACCTTCCTGGCAAATGCTCAGCTTTGGACCAACCTACCTTTCTTCATGCCAATGTCTAAGTTGCTAGAAAAAAAAAAAATCAACATCTGGGCAGATGGTTGCTACAGTAACTTCAGTTCCTGTGGCCTCAGCTGGACCGTTAATGCTCCCTGGCAACCCTCATTGCTCTTCCCTGGTCAACGGTTTTTCCTGTTCTCCAAAGAAACAATTTCAAGCCTTCATCACTTTCTTCCAACCTCCTTTCCTTCTCTCACCAAACCCTCCATTCCTTGTAGATTATTTGACCTCCTAATTCTCAGAAAAGAACAAAAATCAGACTGGAACATTCCAAACCACCACCATCCCCCATCTTGTCCCCCCCATACATCCGCCAGATCCACAGATATATCTGCATCCCTTGCCCAGCCTTCCCTACTGCTCCGGTGCAGGAAGGGTCATCCACTTGTGTGTTGGTTTCTCGTCCCTCTGGTCATCTCGGCCACCTTGACTATTTAGTTACCTCCATCTCTCCTTTGTCTTTGAGTCTGCCCTCTGTAGTGCTTCTTTTATGTCCGCATTTAAACAGCCTGTTGTCTTAGGATACGCTTTCCTTTCAGCCAACATCCTCCAGTCCTGTTCCAATCCATTCATCTTGACTCTTCCCCCACCACCGTCTAATTTGCTAAAATTACTCATGATCCCCACTTCCTTACCTTCTACTCGTTTTTCACCCATCACACCCTGGTCTTTGCTCCCACCACCCTCCTGAGAGTCCTTGTTGCTAAATCCAATGGGCTCTTTGTTTTGAATGCTTGTTCCTCTCTTACTTGACCTCTTAGAAGGATTTAATGCTGCTGACTGCTCCCTCCTTGAGATACACTCTCGTCTTGGCTCCTGTAACATCGTAACTCAAAACTCCGTTGCCCTTAACCTCCATTGCACTGCTCCGAAATCCAGCTCTGCTATCAAAGACCTCATTTTTACTCTACATACTCTCTTGGGGGTGTTCTCATCCACACCAGTGGCTTTAGTCACCATCTTACTTACCATCCAGAGGCTTCCAAATTTTGCACCTCCAGATAACAATCTTGCTTATAAAATTCAGAATTGTCTATACAAGCTGCCTACTGTTCATCTCCACTAAGATGCCTCTCAGATACCTTAAAATCAGCACTCCCAAAGTAAACTCAAGCTCTCCTTCCAAACCCGCCATTCCTCCTTGTCACAATGAGTAGCAGCACCATCTGCCCTGCTGCCCAAGGCAGAGCACCTTAAACATTATCTTTGACACCTCCCTCCCTGGCGGGCTTCACATCCAGACCATCACCGAGTCCTGTAATTCTGGTGAGGTGGAAAGAGCATGGGTTTTAGCTGAAATTCTAATTGTGGTTTGGACAAATTACTTAACCTTTCTTAGCCTCAAGTTCCTCCCCTATAAAAAGGAAATCATAATACCTAATTCAAATGGTTGTGGTCAGGGTAAAGGAGAGCCTTTACTTGGTAGGCATTCCATAAATATGAATTTTCCATTCAGTAAATATGAGTGCTCTTCTGTCCCATTCCCTCCCCCCACCCCCATCACCGCTTCTCCTCACTCACCTAAGTGTTGAATTGGTATTTACACAGTTTCTTGACCTCAAGAATGAAATTTCCCCTAATTCCTTCATGACTAAGGACTGTGGCTTGTAGCTCCTCGTATTTATCATAAAGATTTGGAAAACGCAAAGAAAGGAACACTGTTGCCATCGTTCCTTCCGGTCTTTCTTCTATGTGGTCTTTGTTCTGTTCTGTTTTACATAGTTTTCTTGGGCTATAATCAGGTATGCATCCAGCTTTTTTCCAGCTAACCCAAATATTTTCCCAGATTAATCCAAATCCTTCATAAACAGTTTAATGGCTGCTCTTCTGCATGTGACTGTGGTATAATTTACCTAACCACTCTGCTATTGCTGGTCTTTTAGAGTCTTTCCAATCAACGATACTGAAGTGAACAGTTTCACAAAAAAACTTTTCCTCTCACATTTATGATAATTTTTCTAAGCCATAAATTCATAAATCACTGAGCCAAACGATTTGAAAATTTCTAAGCAGAGCAGTATTTGAAATGAATATAGGCCTGGCCTCAGCCACAAAGAGAGAGGTAAAGAGAAAATGGTATAGTTAAGAGATTTTTAAAACAATTATTTTCTGTTTTGCTGAAGAGGGCTGGGAAGGTCCAAGCAGGGTTCTGTAGGGAAAACATGCCTTTGACTTGAAGTTCCTGGCTTCATGATGGTGAAGAAGGGCTTGTTTCTGTTTTTGTATTTTCATTTGGGTCAGTAAGAGGACAAGCCATTCCTACGAGCTCTTTTCCCTCTCAGGAAGAGAAAAATCTTCCAGCATCTAATGATGCAGATCTGTGTTAACAGCTTTGCAGTTAAAAAAAAAAAAAAAAAGTTACAATAATGTATCCTCCTAATGTGCAGTTAATTTTAGTTAAAATTCCCTGGCAATTTAAAAACCTGGTGAATTTGTAAATCTAATAATTGGCTCCAGGTTTAGAAATGTTAAAGCTGCCGTAACCACCTCAGCTCTAGCAGGACACGCACAACTTCCCTGAGTTCTGGCTTCCCGGCGACACAGAAGGAGTTCTGCATTCACCTGAGCTCTCTGCTTGGGAATCCAGAAAGAAACCAAGACCTCATTACGAGATTCTTGTTCCTGATCATCCCTAATCAGAGAAAGCTACTGAGTGCCTCAAAGTTAACATGTCCAAACTTTTGGCTTTCTGGCCACCCCCAGATTCAGTCTTCCTGCTCAGCAATGGAACCTACCCGATTGTTCACATCAAACACTTGAACCGCCTTGGATTTCTTCTTTTCCAATCTCACCACTCCCCAACATCAGCATATCTTGTCAACTCTGCTTCTAAAACTTTACTTCTTTTTTTTTTTTTTCAAGTTTTTATTTAAAATTCTAGTTAGTTAGGGGCGCCTGGGTGGCACAGTCAGTTGGGTGTCCAACTCTTGTTTTCGCCTCAGGTCTTGATCTCGGAGTCGTGAGATCGAGCTCCATGCTCAGTGTGGAGTCCGCTTGGGACTCTTTTCTCCCTCTGCCCCTCCCCCCCAGCACACACACACATACACACACACACACACACTCTCTCTCTCTCTCTCTCTTAAATATATAAAAAATCTTTTAAAAAATAAAATTCTAGTTAACAGATCGTGTAATATTAGTTTCAGGAGTAGAATTTGTGATCCATCGCTTACATGTAACACGCAGTACTCGTTACAAACGCCCTCTTTAAGCCTCATCACCCACTTAGCCCATCCCCCACCCACCTCCCCTCTGGCAATGCTCAGTCTGTTCTCTATAGTCAAGGGTCTGTTTTATGGTTTGCCTCTCTCTTTTATTCACCCCTTTGTTCATCTGCTTTGTTTCTTAAATTCCACATCTGAGTGAGATCATATGGTATTTCTAAGGTAGGTCTTTAAAGTGTCCATTTCTCTCCCTCTCACCACCCCGCACGCCCCTCCCTCCCCCCCCGCAGCCCCCAGCCCCACTCACCTGTGCTGCTGGGTAGCCTCCTGCATGACTCCTGCTTTTGCTGTCACCCCTATAGCCTGTTCTCTACCCAGTAGCCAGCGGGGTCTTGCTAAAACATAACTTTGATCATGTCATCCACCCTTTCCTTAGCAAAGGCTTTCCTTTGCTGTGAAGGTAAAGGTCAAAAATTCTTTTTTTTTTTTTTTGCCTTTTTAAAAATATTATCTTTATTCCACAACAATTTCTTTTTTTTTTTTCCCCACGCAGAACGTGCCCTCTTTAATACCCATCACCAGGCTAACCCATCCCCCCACCCCACTTCCCTCTAGAACCCTCAGTTTGTTTTTCAGAGCCCATCGTCTCTCATGGTTCGTCTCCCCCTCCGATTTACTCCCCTTCATTCTTCCCCTCCTGCAATCTTCTTCTTCTTTTTTTTTTCTTAACATATATTGCATTATTTGTATCAGAGGTACAGGTCTGTGATTCAACAGTCTTGCACAATTCACAGCGCTCACCATAGCACATACCCTCCCCCATGTCTATCACCCAGCCACCCCATCCCTCTCACCCCCCACCACTCCAGCAACCCTCAGTTTGTTTCCTGAGACTAAGAATTCCTCATATCACTGAGGTCATATGATACATGTCTTTCTCTGATTGACTTATTTCACTCAGCACAACACCCTCCAGTTCCATCCACGTCATTGCAAATGGCAAGATCTCATTCCTTTTGATGGCTGCATAATATTCCATTGTATATATGTAAGGTCAAAAATTCTAATGTGGCCAGCCAGGTTCTGCGTGTTCTGCCCCGGCCTCCCTCTCCAGCATCACTGCCCACCATGTCCCCTGTAGCTGCTGGGTTCCAGCTTACCAGCCATCCTTCAGTTCCCGGACTCCTGCCTCAGGGCCTCTGTACATGCTGTGCTCTCTGCCAAGGAGAAGCTTCTCCTCTCCCCGTCCTCCCCTCCTCCTTCCCTCATTGCCAGTCTGGATCAGGTTATTTACTTCTGTAGAAACGCAGGAGTCTTTTTCCTGCTTCAGGGAACCTATTTTAATTGGAGTTTTGATATTCATTCATTCACTCATCCATGTGGGTACGGGATTGATACCTGTCTTTTCGACCAGACAATAAGATCCTCTCTGCTTCTCTACGCTGTTCTTTCCCCACCAGCTAGCCCAGTGTCTGGCACAAAGTAAGTGCCTAATAAATCATTGGTTACGTGCTGGATCAGTAAGTAGAGTCCCCCTAACGATCCCCACTGATGACAGAGTCCCTGTAAGACGTGGCTCTTCCCCAAGGTGGCAGGCCTGGGCTCTCTGCAACATGTCAGCTGGAGGGAATGGCATTTTGCTTGACTTTTTCCTCATTTCAGTGGCCAGAATGAATAGCACATGCTGCCTAGACTTCATTCTTTCTCTCTTCTCTCTTTCTGCAGCTAAAACTTGCTTTCACTCTGGATCACGAGACTGGACTGCCTCAAGGATGTCACATCTACGAGTACCGCGACAGCAACAAGTAAGCCCCTCGGTGGGAAAGAGCGTCCCCTCACCCTGTCCTGCGGCGGGGGGGAGCACCTGTGAGCTCTCTCACAGCGGGCTTCTCTGACAAAGGCTTGTCAGGAAGGGAATCACACTTTGGGGGACTCCACTGGGAAATAGCTGACACAAAACTGTTTCTCCTGTAAAATCTCTTTGGCTCCTAAATATAGGACTTGAAGTACTTGTATGGGAGGTATTAGGCGTCTGTTCAGAGGCAAACCTTCCTTTCCAGACTTCCGGTTTCCTCTAGGGGAAGCCCCGCCGCCCGGCACCGCCACCGCCGCCACTGCCCGTCTCCGATACCACACTTGCTGATTTGGTTCACTGTGTGTGACTTCGTCTTGTGCTGTCCTGTCTGACTGCCCTTCTGTGAACAGGTTTTGTTGCGTTAGTCTACCTTGTGAATTTTATAATTGGGGGACTTCTGGGTACTTACAGGGATTCAAGTTGGTGATCTTATTATTAGGAAGGCGGCACCTGGCAGACTGTTACAGCAGCTTTTGCCTTCACCACAGACTGCCCCCCCGTGTGGTTCTGTCTGTGACACAGCATGTGCCTGCTGATGACAGTGACAGTGATGATGATGGCAGCTACCAGTGAGCCCCCGCTGGGCGTCCGCACACCCCTGGGGACGTTACCCTTGTTGTCCTGTGTCATCCGCATAGCACCCTGAAGAGTCTTCTCCGTTGTTATCACGGGTGTATTTGCAGAAGCTGAAGTCTAGGGAATGGACGGAACTTGCTCCAGGTCACTGGCCACAGCCGCGTGAGGAAGAGTCACCATGATCACATTCGCTCTGAGAAGAGAGTAGATGAACGACAGTTGTGGTCCCGCATCGCTATTTTGGAAACCCTAGTCAGTGACAGGGACAGTCCCAACCTGGACTTGAGGACTAATTGTTTAAATATGCAAGCTATTTAATAGTATCCACTGGAAGGAATCCAATAAACACATGCCAGTGGAACTGTCTTTGACATTCCAGAAGAGAAACTTGGGTCTTCCTGAAGAACTCCCTCTGGTGTGGGGGGGGCAGGGGGGAGGGGATGGGTTACCAGCGCCTTCCTGACCAAAATCTCCGTTCATATCACTTTCAAGGCGTTACTCTTGTCATTTATCTTTAGAGGATGCCGTAGTAAGCTGTTGTGTACCCCTCAGTTCTACCGAAGTAATCATTTAGGAAAGATTGACTAAGCGCCCTTAACACCATCGTTTATCCTCTTGGATGGCACTCTTTCTAGAAGTTGCAGGGTTTCTAGGCTGTTGTGTCAGAGATACCATCTCGGCGTCTCATGATGCCGAATTCAGCAGAGAAGTAGGGCTGGACTTCTCGGGTCTGGGGACTGGTGGGGACCATTGAGTGAGTCCCTTGGGGGCAGGTGCATGCATCACTAGGGAGTCAGAGAAATGTCAGCCGTAAGCTGCCTGTCCATCTCCCTGGGTCGGTGCCTGCTGGCTGGCAGTGGATGGCAGCCCCACGCACGCAGACTGTGGCTGTAGAAACGGAGCTTGCAGCCCAGGGGTGTTGACAGACTCCAATTCTGGCCCGACTCCCTGCTCTTTGGGAAAGAGGTTGGCAGCCTTCTCCTTCGGTGGGAGGGCGACACTGGCCTGCCTTCCTTTGGGTTCACATCTTAGCAGTTCAGAGGTGCAGTGACAACAACTTAGGTAATCTTTGGAGCGGAGAGGAGAAAATAGCCTAGCTCTGTTTCTTGGCCTGATCCCCAACTCCTAGCATATTATCAGAATAAGCAATGTAACACGAGAAGTTAGGGGTTGTGAGTATGGATAAGCTTTGGCCCCCAGAGACATGCAAAGGAAAGCATTTGTATAGGAAACTGAATAGGAGCCATGATCTGGGAAACTATGGCAATCAAACGTGTCAGTGACCCCTCTCTGCTTGTCCTGCTAGAGGCAGTCTTGGGGCTCATTATCAATTTGTGGACAAATTTCTTAACCTCTGAGCCTCAGGTTCCTTCATCTTTTAAGAACAGTGGGACTAATGAGACCTTCTGCCATAAGTGGGGGAGTGATGGTCCTGGGGATCGGAATGACATGTTAAAGACATCATCACAGCCTAGCACATAAAGTGCCCACAGTAAGTGTGGATTGCCTCTCCTTCCCAAACAGAAAAATTACCTCATGACTTCCATTCTGTTTTCCCAGTGCCTGCAAGGCTGCATCCATGAGCTGTGGCTGCCCCTAACGGACCATGAGTAGGGAAGAGGCTGGTGCACATGCCTTCGACAGCCCTTAGCTGTGTGGGATGCTCTCTGTCTAAAGGCCACCTCCTCTGCCCACGTGTGAATTGCGAAGTGAAGTGTGGAGAATCCCATGAACTTGACTGTGACTTTCTGCTCTCCCCTGGGCTCTGCCCTGTGTGTGTTCCTCTGTTCACTTTTAGGGTCATTTCCGCTAGAGTGCCTGAATCCCAGTATTGGTGTAAGAGTGGTGTTCGGGAAACGCAGCTGTTTCGCCCCAGGCCCTAACGAGTCTATGTTGCCTCAGCCAAGTAACGTGAATGCAAGAGCACCAGAGCGAGAAGTTTCCCCATATGAAAGAAATTAGCTTGGTATCTGAAGATTAGTTTGGTACAATTGATTATTGAAACTACTACTTTTACCTGGGTATTTCCCACAATATAATTCATAGTCATTTTAATATTTAGCTCTGCCAAATTCAGTCTGTCAGTGAAGAAAGTGTTGTGAATAAGTATTGAGACTGTTGGGACAGTTCTCCCCAGTGGTCTTTCCCTTCAAATGGAGTGGCCCTGAACATAGGCACTCTGCTTTTATTTTCCCTGGACTCTCTTCTCAGCTCCCTTCCCTGGAAACATCCTGATAACCTCGATTTTTGGCTCTGTGTCATCCTGTTCTCCATCTGCATAAAGGGGCTCATACTTGCCCCCGGGCTCCAGGGAGGACAGGCCCTGGGACTTGTCCGTATCTGGCCAGGCTCGGACCCTGCCTCCTCTAGCCTGCAGGGCATGGTTCTCAGGTAAACATTCTTAAAGCTCCAAGGTCGTTAGAAGAAAGAAGCTGCCCTCTTGTGTCTTGTGTCTTGTGTCTCGAGCTAGAGTAGTAAAGCTCTCCACTCAAGTTATGCCTTCAGCCTCCCAAAAGCTGGTCACGTCTGCACCTAAGAGATGGGAGGCCTCTCCCCACGACGCTGACAGGTGCTACCAGTCTCCACCATGGACCTTCTTTTTTTCTGTTGCAACTGCCTTTAATATGCAATCCAGTGAATCCGGGGCTGACTGAGAGTCATTTCTCAAACTGGGATTTGGAGATCTCTTCACAGGGCAAGGAATAGGCCACAAAGAGCGAATAAGTGATTCATGAGAAGTCAGTGACGCGTTCAGTAGGCCCCCGCCCCATACCACGTGTTGTGCTAGGCACTGGGGCACAAAAGATGACTTACACCTGCTCCAGGGCCTCGAGTTTGTGTAAAGAGCAGACCTCACCGCAGCCCTGTTGGGGGTCTCACGCTTCTCAGTGGGGAGAGTCGAGGGCTGTGGGGACCAGGAAGAGGAAAGTAGCTGCTTCTGACTTCAGAGCAACTGTGTGGACCGTTGTACCCCTCACGGATGGAGAACTTTGTCCATAATGTTCCCTTGTCTCCATCCCCATGACCCTCCTCCCACTGCCCGGGATGGGGAGTTACTTGGCACACTTCTCCCTGCCTCTGGCTCTTTGACCTCCAGCCTGTCCCCTCTGCCGCCTGAGGGAGCTTTGCATGGCTTTTCACTCTGTTTGCTTTTGAGACCTGATTTTTGACTTTGGCATTCTGCAATTTTACCACAGTCAGTCTAAGGGTAGGTTCATCTTTATTATGTTGCTGGGGACTCAGTGTCATTCTTCCATTTGGAAATTCTTCTCTGCTGTCTCTGATTCTCTCTAATCTTTCCTAGAACTCCTGTTAGAAACCTGCCATGTTATTCTGTCTTTCTTTACTTTTACTCCATGTCCTTTTCTGCCAGTGATGTATTCCAGCACTTCCTCAAGAACACCTGTGAGTTTACTAATCTTCTTGTAGCTGTTCATAATCAGCTGTTTAATACTCCTTCCGAATGTGAGGGTTTGGGTTTTATTTTTAAGTTTTAGAAGTTCTGTTTGGAGCTTTTTAAAATCAGCCTGTTAATTTTTAGTTTTTGGTTTTTAGTGTCCTAGTTTTTATTATGATTTCTATTCCTTTTATGGTTTCGTTTAGTTTGATTACACGTGTAGCATCTTTCGAAGCGTTCAATTATTTCTGGTTTTAAGGGTACGAGCTCTCCCATGTGTTGGGTCCGTTGCCTTGCTGTCATGGTCGTTCACTTCCTCCTGTGGTTCGTTCTTTTTTTGTCAGGAGACCATCTTAAGTCGGGATTGTTTTCACTGTGGGAGCTGTGGGTTGAGGATGTGTGTGTTCATCACTTTGGCATTTGCTCTGCCAAGACCCCAGGAGTTCCAGAGGCCTGGCTAGTTTGGTGTGAACCTCTTGGCTCAGGATTCCCGGAACCCGGGTAGCGTGTATTCAGCCTCTCTACCCACCCATGGCAGTGTGGGCTTGGGATCTCCTTTCTGCAGAAGAGAAACTTGTGCTCCACACCACATACAGACTCTCCTCTGGGCTGTTAGAAAGGCCTTTCAGTACCTGTTTAAAGACCAACAGCCCTTCCTGGATTCCTGACTCTCGGATCCATTTCCCTGGCCAGGTCTTCTTCCTCCTGTGGGCATTAAAATCCCCGCACCTGTAACTGTGTCAGAGTTTGATAATCCCAGCTCCACTTGCCAGGATAAAGATTCTGGCTTTGACTTAGTTTCCTCTTTATTTCAGGTAACTGGGAATTTTCCTATTATTCTCTCATGCTCAGTTTTATATTTAAATGGTTCTTCTCATATATTTCATCCATCATTTCTCTGTGTTTGTGTTGGGAAAGAGGTCCACATCAGTTCAGTCTACCATCTTGTCAGAACCAGAAGTCTGGATGAACTTTTT